GTTACTTCCCATCTCTGACAATATGTCAAATAAAACCTCAAAAATTTATTGCTACGAGTGCTAAAAAAATTAACATCATCTATAAAAAATAGTTTGAGCTTTGGAGAAATATCAGAAAATATTATATCTTGTCTAATCATAGCCTGAAGAGGAAAAGGGAATGTTTTTAAGATTTGATTATATTTACTCACATTACACAAAACTCCTGATGAAGTGACAGGTTATTGTCCATGAAATGAGAAACAGCCCATATTCCTTTTAATACCATAAATATGGATTTTTTTATTACTCAGAACGTATCTATTATTCCAACCCAGGCGGAGTTCTTGGGTTTCTTTGGGCCTGAACCTTCAGGGACTTCCACGTTGTGGAAAACTGACAGCTGTCCGAGAGATTGTTCCTCTCAGGAATCATGACAGACTTCTGATGGTTTGGAGTTGACCTTTGACCTTCCCAGCGCCTCAGGTGCGGCTCCTCAAACCGAACCTCCGAATCCAGAGGAAGCAGGAATAACGTGAACAAGGTGGAGAATCTGTCGAACCTGAAAGGCCGTAGATGTTTCTCCTCTCCGTCTTCCCCGTTGGGACGCTGTGCGACTGCGAGGCGGCGCCCTGGCAGCGATGGTGGCAGCCATCCAGAGCCCTGTCCGTCATATGCTGGGAACGCTGGGAGAGCGGTGACTGTTAGTTGGCTCCCGCTGTGCTCCTCACCTCCCAGCTGTTCCTGAATATGGCGCAGAGGCGCTTCCTGCAGAGACTGAGCACGTTATTAATGAGCGACCAGCTTAAAGTGACAGAGAGCTGGAGCGGCGCACAGATTGCTCCACCAGTTGTTCCTCCACCATCATCATCATCACTTTGGCTCCTGCCCATTTCTTCTCTAAACTTTAAATTCTTCTTCTTCTTCTCTTCTTACAGATCAGCCGACTGTTTCCCGTATTTGTTCCAGCTGTTCCCTGTAAGTGTTTTTTAAATCTTTAGTTAGGGTTAGGTTAGAACAGTGGAGGGCGGTGGGGGAGGGGGCCCAGCAGGCATGGAGGTCAGGGTTCTTCTCTCTGACCTCCTTCCTAAGAAGCTTCTGTTAGATAAAGACCAATGGAGACGCTGGATCCCAGCTTTAACCCTTTATAGAGCAAGTTACCATTTTTGATCACTTCCACACGCCTTACAAATGGAGTGCCATTTCTTTTACTCTCAGTGTTTTTCATAAATTTCTCATAGAAAAACTTTTGTTATTTTATATTAGTATATATGGGCAAGTTGGCGTTTCTTGTAATTACATTGACATTCTTTTATGCCATCAAAATATACATATTTTTTTAACTTTACAAAGGTAATAAGGTCTTGTCCTGGATTCCAATAAAAATGGTCAGATGGACCCAGTATTCAAGGAGAGGCAGCCAGTAGGAAAGTTCAAAACATTTATTAAATAAAACAAACTAAAGTAGAGCTGTGGCTCGCAGGCACTGCAGGATGGGGAGCGGGGCACCGCCCAATCTCAGACACAGGTAAGTGACCATGATCATCTGACTGAAGATGATGTTCTCAGTGAGTCACTTACCTGCTTTAGCAGATCAGTCCATACCCCTTGAGAGGGGTGCAATCCAGCCGATGGGCCGACAGCTGACGCGGCTCGCGTCACCCAGAGTGTCCCCAGTGCTGCAGCTCCGGAGGAGTTGCAGGAAGCCGATCCTGATCAGGGATCCAGATCAGGCAGGAGCAGAACAGGTAGCGGGATCCAGGCTTCCAGGCTTTAACAGAGCTCCGGGACAGGTTCAGAGTCTGACTGGGACCAGAAGCGTGACCAGGTGGTCACGCACAGGAGCAGACAGGATCAGGTGCAGATGAGCAGGCTCAGTGGAAGAGGGTAGCCGAGACAGGACGTGGAACCAGAACTTGAAGCAGGACTTTAAACTGGTCTCCTCCCTGGAGCCAGGCTTACTGGATAAAAACTGAACCTCCCCCCATAATGAGCCAAAAACCCAGAGAACTCCGTGGGGGAGGAAGAGTGGATGATCAGGAGACGAGACAAACACTAAAACCCTCTTTCCACTGGATGCCAGGATCCAGGACATGAACCAAGAACTAAATAAAACTGAACAGAAAGACAGGAAATGATCTGGCCCTGAATGCTCAGGCTGAACAGAGTATAAACCAGAGGAAACAGGTGAGAGGAATAAATAATAATTGAGGCAGGGAGGGAAAACGACAGGTGAAAGGAATGACCAATAAAGGAGCAAACAGGCCAGATCATGACAAAAAAATATCTTTACATTTGTGAATATGTCTTAAAATAAGTGTATTTAGCCTTAATTTGAGAAGGCAAATAAGAAAATCTCCCAGCTGAAGGAGCATTTTATACTTAAAATGTGATTATTTGATATTGTGCTCTTGAAATAGGAGACTGCATTTTTTCCCTTATTTTAAATGTAAATTTTCTTATTCCATCTGCAAAGTGTCTCACTTTCCTGCTCAGTTCAAGAAAAAATGCACTTATTTTAAGAAAAACTGACTTAGATTTCAGTTTTTCGCAGTTTACTCTATAAAGGGTTAAATGAAGAAATGAGTCAGAATGTCTCATTAAAGGAAAAAAAAATGTAAGTTTCATGTTTCCAAAGTTATTTCCAGGCAGTGAACGGAGCATTCTGCAGAACTTTAAGTTCCATTTAATGCTGGTTTGATTGGGATCAATAAACAGAACCTCATGCAGTCTGGATCAGGGTCAGAGAAGAAGAACGGCTCTGCTGTATGTTTTTTTTGTTTCCAGGACCTGGATTATTGTTTGATCGCCACTCCATCTGCGGGTCCAGAGTTCCCCTGGTTACAGTTCCCCTGGTTACAGAACTTTGCCCTGGTGCCACCGCGCCCTGGCACCTCAATGCTCACCAGTCTCTACATCCTCCATAGGTCCAGATTCAGGTGGATCCCTTTTTCTCTCATTTCATTTCCTGTTAGGTAATCTCTGATGTTTCTGCTCTGGATCCTCTTATATGCTTCAACACTTCTAGAGCGAGTGGAAATTAAAGACATTCCAAAAAACCTGATAACCCCTGGAACTGTAATCTGTGCTAAACAATAATCTGCTCTGAACTATAATCTGTGCTGTACTATAATCTGTGCTGTACAATGATCTGTTCTAAACTATAAACTGTCTGGAACTATCATCTGTGTTGAACTTTAATCTTTGCTGATTATAATCTGATCTACACTATAAACTATTCTAAACTATAATCTGTTCTAAATTATAAACTGTTTTGAACTATAATCTAAACTGAACTATAATCTGTTCTAAATTATAATCTGTTCTAAACTATAATCTGTACTGAACTATAATCTGTTCCAAACAATAATCTGTTCTGAACTATAATCTGTTCTAAACTATAATCTGTGCTAAACTAGAATCTGTACTGAACTATGATCTGTTCTGAACTATAATCTGTTCTAAATTATAATCTGTGCTGAACTATAATCTGTTCTGAACTATAATCTAAACTGAACTATAATCTGTTCTAAATTATAATCTGTGCTGAACTATAATCTGTTCTAAATTATAATCTGTGCTGAACTATAATCTGTTCTGAACTATAATCTGTGCTGAACTATAATCTGTGCTGAACTAT